ATTAATCCCATAATCACTGGATAAATTGCGGGTGGAGTTTCAAGCATTTCAACAAAAAACAAAAAAAACAAAAAAAAGTGTCACGATATTCAAATCTGTCAATTAATTAGTCCAATGTTCCTCGAATGGTTTCTGTTCAAAACCTCGTTAGTTGACCTATAAGTCCCTATTGACCAAAATTTAACCAGTTTAAAAGAATGGTAAAATGCTCTAGTCAGTTCTCTAAAGTTCATCTAAAAGAACCTTGATTATGTGATCATTGTCAACACATTGGAAACCACGAAATCGAGGAAATGATCCACAACCCACAGAGTATATTCATTTTTCATCAATTTTTTACATTGTTTGAGGAAGATGGTAATTTTTTATGGTGACTAGCGATTATTCGGGGATTTGTGATTTTTATTATATATTTCGCCATATTCGACCTCCCGTATTACATGGTAGGATTTTTTCTCTTTTTGCTAACTTCGTGAGTAGGGTTTTTCAAAATCAAGGCGTGTTTGAAATTATGAAGCAAAAGTAGGGTTTTTCAAAGTCAACATTTTTTACTATCAAGCTCCATGACGTGACAATATCTTCTGGAGGATGAACAATTACCAGTAATAGTGAAGTAGATTAAGTCGACTACGTTGATCCTGATTATTGCAATAGATTTCTGTTGATGATATGGCTAAGGAATTGAGATGTGTTGGTCTAACTGGTTTGCTAAAAACGCTCCTCACTGGTAAGCCTTTTTTATTTTTTATTTATTTTTTATTTTTTTTTTTTGGGTGTGAGTTTCGGGCCTCAAGCTGGACAATGCCCATTTTGATTTGACAAAACCCAGGAAAGTTTTACCACTTGGAATTACAAAGGTTTATCGAAAATCAGAAAACAATATCAGATTCGTCCCCCTTTGATGGCCATTATTTGGCCAAAACAATATTTTGAATAATGATTTTTCGAAGAATGTGTTACTTGCAAAATATTTTATTACGTAAATGTGTAGTTGAAAATGAATATGTAAAAAAAAAAAATGAATGTCAAACGTGGGCTCAATCATATAACATCCCACTTTTTTTTTAAAGGAATATGCCACTTTGCTCGAATGATCTTGACGATGCAGTAACAAAAGTATAGGTGATAGCAAATGATTAAATAAAAAATCTAACTATGCTTTGAACAGTTTAATCAAAGACAGAGTCCCCCCCCCCCCCCCCCCAGGCCCAAAAAAATTTTTAAAGCCCCCCCCCCCCCCCACCGAGGCCCAAGAAATTTTTTTTAAGGTATTTTTATTTTTTTTTGGTAAAAAATTAGTTTTTTATGTGTAAATTTTTTTTTCTGCGTAGTAACCTGTTTTGAAATTTTGTACCCCGATCTTGGATCAAATTCTGGATCCGTCCCTAAATTTAATGATAGAATGTCACATGACATTATATCAATATTTTTGTCAACTTATTTGACACTCTGGCATGATTGTTTTTAAAAGAAGCATACTCATCTTGTTCAATATTAACCGCAAGAATCTCTACCCAGGAGCCTATATATCCATATGTTATTCCGAAAAACCAATAAGAGGCCCGTTTCGCAAGGGTGTGAGCAAATTCATTTGCCTCGTGGTGGATTAACTTGAGTAGAAATTCAATTTTTTTTTTTTCCATTGAAACTTGAGTCTATATGTTGATGGCCAATCAACGAAAATATGATTTGAATAATTTAAGAATTATGATTTTGAAATTTGCGACTTATTAAATAGAGAGTAAGTTTCGTTCTTCAAGTTTGGAAAGTCAAATCATCTGTCCATTTTAATAAAATTAAAACATAATCTCTTGAAACTTAATTTTAAACTAAAATAGATATCATCTTATATTTAGAGTTTCTTAGAGATACTATTATATTATAAAATGCAGATCTCACAGCAGTTAATTATTGCTTCGTATTGCAGATTAGTAACTTCGCTAGGTTTATATCTCTCTTTCTTTACGTCTTTGCTATTGGTATAATGTAGATGAGGTTAGGGGCGGACCCAGACCCATCGATTAGGGGGTCATATCAAACTTTCAAAAGGTGGGTAAATCGTAAATGGTAATGGCAGCCCGTAGTCGACATACTGGGGGAGAGAAACAATGGCACAAAGTTGAGTTTGAAGTTGTTGATTGCATAATATATTTATAATGTAGGTTTTACACTTTTAACATTTTAAATAAATATAAACAGCACAAGAAAAAGGGCAGAAATTAGGGGTCAATTGACCCTATAGGACGCCCCAGGTTCACCCCTGGATGAGGTGGAGTGGTGTTGGAATTGATGGGTGATGAAAGAATGAACAGTTTTGAGTAATCGGAGGTGTTTCATCTCTTTTTTTTGACGTCTTCCTAAGTCTCCTCAAAGTGCTTGCTGGAATAGACACCAACTTTACTATTACATTCATGGGCTGAGAGAGGAGAGCAGGTTTTAAATCCAGGGGGTCTGCCCTCAAGCGCAATTAGCTTTTAAGGGAAAAAAATTTGATGGAAACTCTTTTTTTTAGTGGAATTTTTTTTTTCTCTCAACGTATCAATCTAGTATAATTTTTTTGAACTGTGCTACAAGTACAACTCATTTTACAGCATAGTTGACAGTCCTCTCACATTGGGGAGTGGGACCCACAATTAAAATAATCGAGGACCCCACGTTTTGTGAGAGAGTTGTCAAATAAAGTGTACATCACATCTTGTACTGTACACTTATCTTTTTCCAATTTTATTTTATTTTTTTATTATTATTATTTTTTTTTGGGTCTTCCCTGGCTGTGCACTTGGAACTCATATCCAAAGCATCAGATGAAAAGGGGGATTATACTAGCTCTACATGTTCAAATGGACAACTCTTCTAATACCTCCAACAACTATCCTCATCATAAACATGGTGGTGTTCCAAGAATCTAATATGAGATCAATAATGGTTACCAGTCATGGGGCCTACTATTTGGGAAATTGTTCTTCGCATTCTAGGTGATTTTTCATCTGTTTCCATTCCTCAAAGGTCTTATGAGCTGTCAGAACCGGACAACCAGTACTGCTATAGATGACATTTCCACAATGATTTCATCTTCATGTACCTTTTTGTCCATGCGAAGTTCACATTTGCATAGAAGTGGCAAAGCTATACATTTTTGTCATTGCTGCTTATAGTTTGCCATAGTGTTTCAGGTAAACTAGGTGAAGAATTATATGTTGTTTAGCTTTCTCCCCCAGTGCTAGATTAAATCTTGGAACATGTAACTTTTGTAAGCACACGTCTCATCCATGTTGTAGAATGTTAATTTCGTCCCTTCATTATCTTCTCTATGTTGAACGATAACTAAATCTTGGATTGATGATACCAAGCAATCCATTTGAATAATGTTATTCATCTCTACTAGAGATGATCACTTGTCTATGTAAAAGTGGAGTTGCGGTCACATTATCCAAAATATAATTGCATTCCAACTTCATTGAACAATGTGGAAATAACCCACTGTCGCATAACTTCTCTCAATACATTTTATGGGTTATCTCAATTAACCTAAGTTTTGTTGGCTGGAGATGATATATTAGCTATGATAAATACGATCCTTTCAACAAACTTTTTCGTTCTTGAAAAAACAATGGACTAGATATGATTGGACACAATAAAGGAGAGATTGTGACAAAATCTTCAGTTTTGCAGTATACTTATTTTTCTTAGTTTGCTTCACTTTGACAGTGGAAAGCATTTTCTTCGGACAGAAAAGACAAATATTCAATAATAGAGTTCAAATATTCAATTAATTTGTATATAGTCCTTTATTTGAGTAAATTTTTTCTTTGGTAAATGGCCTCAAGCCTATTCTTTTTCCTTTTTGTCAATTGCTTAGTTAGAATATGTATAAAGACATCAGATATTTTCATGTCAAATTACTATCAAATCTCTTGATAGGAATCAACTTTGTCGTTCCAACCTTACTATATTTACTCATGCTCTTACATTTTTCTTTACACTCTCATTTGATAACATCTACATTCTTGATTTTCAAATCATTCATCACGTCACTGCATATATTTCCCCCACATGGAGGAGAATGTCTCCAAGTTGTCATGCAAGATGTACATATAGCATTATTCCTGCTATTAATATAGGCATTCTTAAGAGCTACAAAACATCATATTTTTGTGTTTATTCGAGTGAACGGTAATTTTCTCTTTTCGTATCAATTCAATAATATTTTCAATGTATTTAAATTAAAATAATGTTTTAGTTAGTTAAGGCCGAAATATTTTTAAGATGATTATGAATATTTAAAATTATATCAGACTTCGTCGATTTTGGATTGATTTTGGACAATGAAAGATTTTAGAACCAAAGATATCTGGTTAGATTGCAATAATTCACAGTAGTGACATGATAAGCATGGTTGAGGAGGGTCGATCGAAGTTAAGCATGATATTGTCGATGAGCTCTCAAATTACAAAGACATCCATGCATAAATTTAAGGAAATACTAGTCGCATTGATAAGATGAGATATGTGTTAAGATACCTTAAAAGTTGTCATTCTTATAATAAGTGGATGATATGTCATATATATAAATACCTTAAATGTTGTCAGAAAAAGATAAAAATGTATTTATAATAATAAAATGAAATAACAACTTTCAATCTTTGTTCATGAAACTCAATTTCAATTGAAATGAAAAGTCGGAATTGCACGGCAGCCATCAAATAATCGGTTGAGGACCTACTTACTATATTTTCAAAAGATTAGGGACTGACTGTAATTACTCCTTAAAATAATAGTAGAAATTATAAAATCTTGGTATGAAAAGTATGGGCCAACCACCGGCCAAACGCGCCTTATTTCTCCCACTTTCAAAAGTCTCAACATTTGACTCGCATTTCAACATCATTTCGTGTAAATTTCAATGTCATTTTACATTTGAATTTCAGTTTCAATTTCATCTCCATTTCAATTTCATGTTCAAAAATTCTCAACGTACCGAGGTCCCTCTTTTTATCCATCTCGATCTTCCTATAGATATACCCTTGTGTATATATACATACATCGGTTGTGACTCTCAGTCCCTCTCTATTTACTTGTAAATTGTACATTTGTACAATGAAGATCACTATATTTGGTAGCCAATTTGCTATCCTTTTCACTTTCCCTGATAATTTTTGAAGCAAGAGATAGGTGAATGAGTGAATGATCCAGTAATATGGGCCTCAGATCTATGCTAAAAGCTTCCATTTTTTAACCATCTGTAAGTTTTGCTAGTTGGGTCAGTGTTTTCCAATTTTGGTGATTATGTGCTTGAGCTGCTGAAGGGAGTTGGGTTGGCTTTAATTTTTTTCTTATTGTTTTGATCATCTTTACTGTTAATTCTGTAAGATATGTCCTGTGAATTATGAAAATGAATTTCTATAGATTTTTTAGGTGAAATGCTTGATTCTATAAGTGAGAATATTTATCTGTTTGGAATTTGTTCTTATGAAATTATTCTTTAACCTTTTTAATAATTTAATATGAATTCCAATATTCATTTGTCATATCATGGAGTAAATCAGTGGATACATCCTCTGGATTGCACGAGTCTATATGAGGGGAAAAATTCTGTTTTTGGACTCTTACCGTATAAGAGTCTAATTTGGTAGTATAGCATATCGGAAAAATATTTGAAAGAACCTTTTATCATTTCCTTCATTATATGATAATGAAAGTGTTCTAAAAAATAATCTGAGTGTCTTCCGAGTGTGTATAAATATGTGAAATCTCATTCTTGACAGTTTGTGGAGGAGAACCTTGTGTTTAATGTTTAGTTGTACAAAATTTTCTTTTTCGCATTTGCTATTTTGAATTGTCCTGTCTAATATCTTATTAGAAGAGATCTTTTGCATATAAAAAGGGTCTATTCTCCCAGTCTTAGTGTTTGCATATTGTTAAGCAATTTTTGAATAGGGTCAAACTTTCCCAGGCATTTGGTTGGTCTGTTCGTCTTGATCTTCTAAATAGAGTATTTCTCAAATTTTTTATGGGTTTGGCTTTTGCTTTATTTATTTATTTATTTATTATTATTTTTTTTTTTTGAAGGATAAGGTAACTGCTTACCTGATTGAGGATTTGCTAACAATTCTAGTTATCTGATGGATACGAGGAAACTAACTGTAGAGACTGAGGATTCTTTTTCCAGTTTACTTGAATTTGCTGCTAATAACGATGTTGTTGGTTTCAAGAGATCTATTGAGTATGATTCTTCCGGAATTGATGAGGCTGCACTGTGGTATGTTCGCAAGAAGGGTTCAAAACTGATTGTCCATGAGGAAAGAACGCCATTAATGGTCGCTGCTACTTACGGTAGTGTAGATGTGTTGAATTTGTTAGTTGCTCAATGCGAGGTTGATTTAAATCGATCTTGCGGGCCAGACAAGTGTACTGCACTTCATTGTGCTGCATCTGGTGGCTCTATCAATGTATTGGATGTTCTTAAGCTGCTTATATCAGCTGGTGCCGATCCAAACATAGAGAACTCGGACGGTGAGCGCCCAGTTGATGTGATTGTATGTCATCCAAAGCTTCTGGGTGCTAGAGCTGCTCTTCAGGAATTGCTTATGAACATCTGTTCTGGTGGATTAGTTAACGATTATAATTCACGGGTATCCGTATCTACTTCAAATGCATCTTCACCCCTTCTGTCTTCTTCACCAGATTGTAGGTCTACATGTTCACCATCAGACTCAGTATCATCTCCTGTGGCATCGAAGTTCAACGATGTTCCTTCTAATTTTACATCAGAGAAGAAAGAATACCCAGTTGATCCATCGCTTCCTGACATCAAGAACAGCATCTACTCAACTGATGAGTTTCGTATGTTCTCATTCAAGGTCCGTCCTTGTTCAAGGGCCTACTCTCATGATTGGACTGAGTGTCCTTTTGTTCATCCTGGAGAGAATGCTCGCAGAAGAGATCCAAGGAAGTACCATTACAGCTGTGTTCCTTGTCCTGAATTTCGCAAGGGTGTTTGTAGGCGAGGTGACATGTGCGAGTATGCGCATGGTGTTTTTGAGTGCTGGCTGCACCCTGCTCAGTACCGAACAAGGCTATGCAAGGATGGCACGAGCTGTGAAAGACGGGTGTGTTTCTTTGCGCACACACCGGAGGAGCTTCGCCCCTTGTATGTCTCCACTGGGTCTGCTGTTCCTTCTCCAAGGTCAGCTGCCTCAGCTGCAAGTGTCATGGATATGGCTGCTGCTCTTAGCTTTTTACCTGGCTCGCCCTTGTCACACTCTGTGATTTCTCCTGCATTTAATCAGCCCATATCCCCAACAGCAAATGGAATGTTACACTCAGCTGGAGCTTGGCCCCAACAAAATGTTCCAACCCTTCATCTGCCTGGGAGTAATCTCCAATCAAGTCGGCTGAGATCTTCCCTTAGTGCCCGGGATATTCCACCTGTGGATTTGAACATGTTGCAGGATTTTGATGCTCAGCAACTTGTTGGGAATGACTTGACCCGTTTTTCACAATCACGTTCTGCTTCTTTGAATCGTTCTGGATGGTCCAAGGCTTTAAGTCCTTCCAATCTTGACAATCTCTTTTCAGCTGAGGTCACCTTGTCTCCCAGATACTCTGATCAGGCAGTGGCATCTGGGATTTTCTCTCCAAGGCACAAATCTGCTGCTCTTAATCAGTTTCAGCAGCACAGCATTCTTCCGCCAATGACTCCTAAGGTTTTTTCTCCTAAAAATGGTGAACACCCCTTATTTCAGGGCTCCTTTGGTATTTCATCTCCAAGAATATCACCACGAAGTGTGGAGCCAATTTCCCCAAGGAATGCTCGCTTCTCTGCCTTTGCTCAGCGTGAGATGCAGCAGCAGCAGCATCTACACAGCGTCAGCTCCCAGGAGCTTGGATCCAACTTTACCTCTATTGTAAAGTCTCCTGGGAATACTTGCTCTGAATGGGGATCATCACATCATGGAAAAGTTGATTGGTATGTTAATGGAGATGATCTGGGTTGTTTACAAAGATCATCTTCCTATGAAGTAAATAATAACAACAGGGGGGAGCCTGACCTCTCTTGGGTGCAATCTCTTGTCAAAGAATCACCACCTGAGATGATGGAGAAACATGCTGCGTCTATTTCTGGTAATGCGCCGTCCGGTTCTCAAATCGATTCTGTCGATCATTCGGTTTTAGGATCTTTGCTCGAGCAGATGCAACTTGATCAGCTTGTAGCGTAGTAAACATAACATGATTTCATTTGCACTTGGACGATGAAGACTTCCGGGACTACATTTTTTTCTCATCATTTCTTTTGCTGGTTGGGAAGGTGAAATAGAGAAAGGAATGAATGGCAACAATGCAGTTTCAAAGACTTCCATGGTTACAATGGAGGCTAAAATTGTTTTTTCCTTTTTTTTTCCTTCAAAAAATGTAATCAATTTTAGTTATTTATTGATTATTACAGCAGAATTTTTCAATTGTAACCTGTGCTGTGTTAAAGAAACCTAGTTCATCTTGGACAATGATTTATGTATTTTATGATTCTATTCTATAATCATTCTTTTTACATATATTCTTCTTCTCTTAATGTTCTGTTTTGATTATTGAAATTCATTCTATGGGTTCTATGTATGCATGTTTATCTATATTATGATTCTGGATGGGTAATGGAGGATGGTGATGTATAGAGGGGAAATATTTTCTTCTTTGGGTTGGAAATATAGGACCAACTTTTTAAAGTAGGTGGGGGTGGTTAGGTATGTTTTTAGGGTTAGGATAAAATTATTATTAACTTTTTAAGAAAAATAATATTAGGTTTTATGAAATATGTGATTAATAAGGATCTATTTGATAAAATTTATTTGGAAATAACGAGTTATTGAGTAGTATTTTCTGGAAAATGATCTTATAACAAACAATTCAAAATTTTAAAGGATGATAAATAGGAGCTAACTTAGCAATTGTGGCTGTGTAGATGAAATTAATAATCGAATTTTATTCACATTAATATTTGAATTTGATTGAATAAAAAATTTAGTTTTTTATTTTACACAAACAGAGACTATACGTAGCACGAGTTTCTAATTCCCAATTGTAAGCCATGAACCTTATTGTCGTCTAAAAAATTACTGGTGTCAGACTGTCAGGTAGTCTTATTATTTATTTAAAATATCCTAATACGAGATTGTCCTTCGGACCCTTAAAAGCGAGTATGTTGATCTGTATGTTTTATCATAGTTGCTCGATAAATATTTCATGGAACCGCTCAAAATCTTTTATTATATTATTTGATATGATTTTTAGATGGTCTGACTTTATGAAGTTTGATTTTATTTTCTGTTTAAAAATATGTCATGACATATTTTTATAGATCTATTTGGTTCAGCTTAAAAATTTAAGTTAAAATTAATAATTAATTTTAATTACATTTTATAAATTTTATAATTTTAACTACACATTTCACCGACTCTAATCAAAATCTTTTTAAAAGTTGGCATAATGGTTTAATTGAAATTTTTTATTATATGATGCCACCCGTTGAATTGCAATGAATGGGACGAACTTGTTGACGAAGTCATTGTTTTTTTATAGTTATATCAATGTGGGACAGAATATGCGACTTTTAGGTGTTATGGTCGGAAGTCCTTGTTTTTAATGGTTATATGGGGGGCCTGATAATGCGACTTTTATGGGAATGATCGGCAAATAGATAAGCGTTTTTGTGTCCAAATTCATGCTTTGGTTTCACGCAATAATACAAAAATCAGCATTTGGAGAAGGAACAAAATTATTCAGCTTTTATAAAATTAAATGTTGACCTCCATTTTCGTAGAGATTAAGTGGATAACAGATGTCGGGGCCACTTGATTTCACGTAAGCAAATTTTGGCACGTTTTGATCGAAAATACGATCAAATATGCACTGTGATTATGGACGTGGGAGATGCTTTTTGAGCGCGAGACAAAACATTTTAGCACGGACAATGTGATAAAAAATTATTGTAAACAAATGATCAATCATAAACAACTCAACCGAAATAAAAAAATCCAAACTCGAGCATATAAAAACGAAATAAGCAAGTGAAGATTATAATTTCAAGTATATGAAGTTTGCATACATTTTTCCATCATTTAAAATGTTACAAGAGTTGCTATTTATAATGTTCTAGCCGACGTGGTGGTGGTTCAGAACCACGTGGCTTCATTTCATTAACTGAAATCTCACATCACTCTGCGATACATTAAGCCCCTGTTTGAGTCTCATTTTTACCTCATTAAAATGAAAAATATGATCGTTATCCATCACATCAAGCCATCATTTTTGAATTTCTATCTCTGGTGTGGGATCCATAACGACTCTATTTCTCATTCTCATTATGATGTGGCTCAAACGAACTCTAAATACATTAACAATGGATCAACCGCCCTACACTCTAAGCTCAGATTTCTGACATTTATTAATACAAACGTTACATTAATTATTCTTACAGATACTCTGTATGTCTGCTTTAAGCAAGTGTCTATGTTTCGACTTAAAGAGAGAATTTCAGACTGGCAGAGGTTCAGTCAGAGAGTGTTTCGACCGAGAACTTTGAATGGAGATAACGCTTCAATCAAAGAGATTAATCATTTTCCTTGATTTCTTCATGTTGTCCTTGTTGAATATCATATGTATTGCCTTCACGGGGCTTCCCCTGGGGTCCACGTAGCTACGATGTGACTTTCACTAGGAGCTATAAGAAAACTTCAAACTTCAATATATTATGTTTGTACAAGTTTGAACATGCAGAATTTGGTAAAGTTGAATTGAAAATTTTGAAGATAATAATGTTCAATTAATACTAGAACACCAACCTAGATTGTTAGACTATGGATGTAAATCCAACTCGGGTAGCTTAGACCTGCTCCCGTGCATGCAGTGTTATTTTTTTATTATTATTTTTTTTCTAACGAGGTGTCCCAGCTTGCGCCAGATTATATTCTCGTCCCTGAACCTCCGGCCCCTCATGCGACATGGATTGTGCTCACTGATCATGCTATATATCACGCCACAATTGTCATATCTGATCATAATCAGTTCACACTAAATATCAGGCTACAATTGTCATATCTGATCATAATCAATACACACTAAATAACTTTAAAAATAAATTGGGTCGAGTCAATCTACTTTTATTGTTAGTTCGTCGACTAATTTCACTTGTCTAACAACATGCCTGTGGAATGGGTCTCCGTACCATAGGCATATGTTACTTGAAAAATTGATGCAAACAAAATACATTAGTATTTTCAAGTATTGTTCAGATAAAGAAACATCACCAGTTCACATATCCAAATTAACAAACTTCAAATTTTGTTTGATATCTTGATTTTTTTGCTTTAGACGTAAAACACTGTATCTTTGTTTTGGAAATTAGCAACCATCAATTGATGAAATCTAATGTTTTGCTTAGAACAAAAAAACGGAGAGGAACTCTCGAACATTTGGCGCTATCGACCTATCAGATCGAGGAGTAGATGAAAATCCTTTTTCTTAAATTTTCATACGTCCGTGAGTGAGGAGCTTAAACTGGGATTTCAAATATTTGGTGAGGTAACGTATTTCCATTTGATGAGAAGGAAACAGTAATGGGCCTAATTGAAAAAGTTGGTTTTAGTCCAGTGGGTCCATTTAGCCCCCCCACACAGCCCAGGCCCAACATAACACAGACTAGGCCTGACATGGAAACAGTGATGATAGTACTTTATAGGCTGTGAAATCTTGTTATATTTCACAGTTCAGACCCAACACAGCCTAGGCCTGACATGGAAGGAATAGATTGACAAGTTAAGCCCATTTGAGCCTCAAATTTTATTTTTATTTTTTTGGGGTCAAAAATGCATATTGAAATAGTATTTTGATGAAAAATATGTGACTAAAAAATAAGAAAATATTTCTAACTTGTATATAATATTATTTTATTGAAAAATGTGTTATTGAAAATAAGAGATAAAAATACATTTTGAAAATAATGAGAATCAAACAAGGATAATATGATAGGTGATTGATGCAAGGAGATCACATCAATCAATCCTAGAAAATCTTATACAAAATATCTTCTAGGTAATGTGTTACATATGCTTAGCGGCTATTTACCTCAAATTCGTGCTACAGCACTTCGCATCGCATAGCCTCACCTCGTTTCGTCCATATAGGGTTGGCAAAATGCATCAATTCAACTACGGAAGGACCTCGAATAAGTCAGAAAGGGAAGTTTTTTGGTCATTACAATTATAAAATACAAGTAGGAATAACAATGGGCTCCTCGCCTCTCCTCATAGAAAAGTGAGACGATCACCGGTTAATAGCTTGTCATAGGTGCCGCAAGAGCAACGGTCTTTGTAATATGAGGCTGTTTTTGCAAATGATTTGATGGCTCCAAAATGTATAAAATTCTGCGAGCTTTTGGCTGCTTGAATTTAAAATTAAAATTTTTTGAAAAAATTATAAGCTCTCATTTGGTAGCAATTTTTCATCTAAAAAAATCAATTTGTTGATCATTATTTCATTATTTCAGTCGTCATTTTATACTTCCTCACTCACAGATGAAATCTACTTTTCTCTTTATTGATCAAAAATCAATTCTCATAATCACTGTACAATAGGCTCTAAATAAAAGATGCTGATTAATTTTAAAAAAACTAATGGAACGAGTCTATCTCGAAAATCTCCAGATAAATTGACTTGTGCTTTGCTGGATGTAAATCCAGCGCGAGCCAAGTTCCCCATCGACATCCATAAATGAACCAATGTGATTTCAATGTATCATGTATTACCATACACGTGACTGATGAGTACAAGAGATTTTCCTTCCACCCTACAATTTGGATAAAAAATCCCCATTTTCTCAGCTTCACTTCCGCCGGATAAACGTATAAAATCCTACCCAACACCCTTAAAAAATTGACTAGCAGAAGAAAGATACTCCAATTTCACCGCCATGACTACCAGTCCGACCTGCGTTTCTTCACTTCTCAACATGTCCTCCTCCAGAATAAAAATCCCAGAAACCCCGTTGGCCAAAATCAGTCCTTGTTCAAGGAAAAAATCGGTTTTCAATCGTTTCCGTCCCATAAAATCCATTTCCACTTCAATTGTTGATAACCCATCAGCCACATTTTCGTCGTCTAGGTCTATCGATTCAGCTACAATCTTCAATTCGTTGAATCTTGACCAAGACAGTATCACTTATCAAGAGGCTGAAAATGCTGAGTCGAAAACCGGGGCTAAGATCAAGGTCAAGGTGCCACTCAAAGTGTATCACGTGCCCAAAACTCCCGAATTCGAGTTGATGGGTAAAGTTGGAGTTTTGAAGCAGTACGTTGGGGTTCATAAGGGGAAAAAGATATCGGCTAATTTGCCGTATAAAGTGGAATTTGTAGCTGATGGTGTTCTGGGTCGTGATGGCAATCTGATGAAATTCACTGCACACCTTAAGGAAGATGAGTTCGAGTTTCTTGACTGATCTACTTGAGTCTTACCCTTTTTTTTTTTTTGGTAATTGATGTTTTTGGTTTGATATTGATGGCGCCACTGTATAATTAGTTGTACATGTACTGTACAACATTGTAAATAACTAATTGTTGATTTCGTGTTTTTCTTCTTACCTGAATTGACTTTCAAGAAATTGTGATTGCTTCCTGCTTTTAGCTGCGTTCCTATCCGGCGATTGAAACAAAGAACAAAACCCAGCCTTGTTCCTGTATAAATTTGTTGGCTCTACGTATCCCTTTTCTTGGCTCTGTTAGGTTTTTTGCTATCTCTATTAAAAGATAGAATGCAATTGGATACTTTTCACAACATAGAATGTTAATAATGATCTTTATGTTCCTTTTCTAATATGTGTTTATTTGGATCACCCCACTTTTGTGAACAAGAGCTTCTTCAGGGTAAATTCTAGTCTTTAGAGTGCTAGTTTGATGCAAACTACACAACCTAATACCCCAATTTGAAAAAATCAAACTTGATAATCAGTATAAAATAAAAGGGAGTGTATGAAAGAAGAAAGCATATCATTTGAAGAGAGTGGTGTATCGAACTATTGGGTCTTTAATAAGAGTAGCTGACACTTGTTGCTATAGAAGACACTATGTCACCAGTCACCACCAATAAAAGTTGCAATTCAGGTGACCATACCTTAGATTATTCTCTGTCAAAGAATCTGGTTGGCAGTCATCGGACAATGGTGCTTGCAAGCTGTAAGGGCCTTCTCCAAGAAAGGAAATGAAATAGCAGTATGTTGTGTATTTGTCTGCTGGTAAGTTGCTCATAATGTTTCTGCATCCCAATTTTTGTAATAGTAGGTGAAGGAGTTGCCTATTTGGACTCCAGGCAATTATCACAAAAACGGGAAAGTAAAAATTTCGTTGCCCGATGGAAAATTGTCTGTAATACTTGAGTTGGGATTTCTAATGCTCTAGTTGTTTTCTTAACTTTCCTTAAACACACTTACTCTACTATTGATTTGATCAGTTTGGAATATAGTTGATATTTTTTTCATGATCAATAAGAACGAAAATATCTAAACAATAAGTAGCCGACATGGCAAGTTTTTTTATTAAATTATATCTGTTTCCAGACCTGCTGATACAAGAGCGAAAGCAGTATTATGACCAACAACTTGAGCTGCTAAACTTATTGCAGTTATTTTGTCATGTATTGTAAATTAACTTGTTCTAATAATTTTCTTTTCTATTTGATATATGTTGATAAGTGCCTGGTGAAACTTTGTTGAAAGGGGGCTATGTTATTTGTGGATTGTTGACAGGTGCATATGTTAACTGTTATCTAATGGTGAGTTAATATTTACTTTATATACTAGGAACACCATATCAGAAAAGAGAAAGTGGTAGAAACTTGATTGCGGTCTGCAGCAATTGGTTGCAAGGGAAGAGACCGAACTTGATAATCGATATTCAAGCACATTTAGTTGCCTGTCCACTGGACTGTGAAACACTTTCAGTAACTTGTACTCTCCTTGTTGGTTAGATAATATGCCATTGGGGCTTGCAACTATGGGGTTAGGTATTCGAAACATTTCATTGCATGAAGAGCAGTGGACTTTTTGGTCGCCTGAACCTCAGAACGACTTGCAAAATTTTGAAGATCCACCATTTTTAGATTTGACCTCGAAACAGAGATTAAAGATGAAGAAATTAGGCTCTTGTTTGGTAGAAATTAAAATTAAGATTTAAATCTGAATTGGAATCAACAATTAATTTTAACCTCATTTCATGGGATCAACAACTTTTCAACCACACAATTCATTAACTTTTATCAAAATCTATTAAAAATCTGATTTTAATCTCCACCAAATTGGAGCTAGGTGTCATTCATAAATGCTTAATATGTTAGGTCTGTGCTGTGATTAGAAAATAGGCCTCAAAGGTGAAAAGAGAAGAAATTTAGGAGTCTCACCTAGAACTTCTTTGTTCTAATAATAATGTTGTAAAATCTTACTTCATCTACCATAATGGTAAAAATAATTACAGCATTCATATTTAGCAAAATACGATGTTTGGCCCTTTTGGGGGCTAATAGCCTAGCAAGAGGCAGATGGAAACCAAGTTTTGATGAAAGACTTCTAAGTCCTGTTAATTCATATGTTCTTGCTGTTTTCTGTGGGTGGGGGAAGGGAGGGTGAAGTTATGGGAAACAGAAAACTATAGTATTAGATTCTAAGTAGGATGACCGATGACCAAAATGCACAGGCTTCTCCTTTAAAACATCAAGATTAACATAAACTGTGCCTTGTGATCCAGTTGCTCAAAGGTAAATAACCTGATTTTTAAAAGATTTTGAAAATGTGAGACTTCAAGGGAAGTTAAAAGCTATTATTCTAGTTCTTGGGTAGGTATAAAATGTTAATTGACACAGAAAGCGTATGCATGGAAGAAACTTCAGAACTTTTGGTTTTGCCCCCATCTGATGCATTTTTGCCCATTTAGGACAAAGATGGATAAACCTCAATTGGAGGCATTTATCTATCTCACTCAAGAACTTGAAATATGTAGAGGTTCTTGTATGCATTTGCTGGGCATATGTTCACAGTGTATACATGCAGGCCTATATATGCCCATAGTAGCCACTCAAGTATAATTGATGCTTGTGCAGAATTTGAGTTCTTTGTGTTTGTTCTTGGTTTCTGTGACCAGGCCATACCGCCTCTTCCGTCACAATCACGACTCACGTGCACAACGGCTTCTAGACTGGCTATTTAAGGGTATAAATGTGATGTTGAAAGATACTTCTCTAGGAAATCCGTGCTCTTGAAAGTATATCACGAGTCTTGCAGTTCAGATGTCGTGGGTCCTCTAAAGAGTTCTTCCTTTATGTGCGAGCAGTAGCGTAGGTTACTCTCCTCTCTTCTTGAGTGTTTCCAAGTTGATTAGGCATCTTGATTGCTGGTTCTTTTTGTTTGTGAATAATCAAGATAGCTTAATAGTCTCAATTTTTTTTTTTCGAAAAAACATAGTAACCATGAACATGGGATAACCAAGTGAGATGCATATTTTTTAATTTTTGCATTTTAATGATGTGGTGTAGTAGTAAGTTGGTATGCCACAGTTTGCTTACTGCAAGAGACAACGGATACATCTCCAAGTAGCAATAGTTGAATGATGAATCTTTAAATGGACATAGATTCCATATTGAGAGAACTTATGTACTTGGTTAGCAACTTTTTGATTTGCATGTTAAGGTAGTAGATTCGATCAATAATGTTGAATTCGATAATTAATAAAATTTATGATATATTTAGAAAAATAGAAAAAAAATTAATTTTATAATGTATCTATCTTATGTAATCATATACACTTTTGTTCACTCTAATGTACGTGGTGTGTTTGACCATTAAGATTGTTGAACTTGAAATTTGATGGTATCGTGTGGTCTACATATTTCAAATCATCTCCAATTCGCATGTATGTAATGTGCACATTAGGATAATCACTTTAGATTGCTTGTGATTATTGCTCCAACAAGGTTCGATGATCGCAGGCACTTCGACGTTCAAGTCACGTTGCAAAGATATATTTAGGTGTGGAAGAAGCACATGAACAAAAATATGAGTATCGGGTTTGGAAAGAAAATATCGGATTTGCAATGTGTGAATATGATGCTCATTATTTCATTGCCAGAATAACCTTACATTTAGGAGGCATGAGTGCGAGTTTTTATACCAAGAGCGCAGAAGTGATATCCATTGAATATTTGACACCTGACCTCATATTTATAGCTCACTATTCAAAAGATGTCAATCCAGCTATCATAGGAATGTGGTCGCCTAACAATGGGAAATTTGCTATAAATTGCCTAATTAACTCAGCGTATTTGTTGCAAGTATTGGATATACATGGTATTTATTTACGGAGTATCTCTTGGCCGAGATAGTTGTCACGAAAGATGCCATTACTAGAAGAAGTCTACCACCTTGAAAATATGATGTAGCAAGAAGTGGCACCTCACCTCAAAAGTACCACTTCATGAGTAAGTAATATAGCCTCGGAAGAACCACTTTGGAGGAAATGATATAATGTTGGAAGATATGACCGACCACTTCGGAGGATGTGCTCAACTGCCTCGTCCAATTGTCTAACCATCTCAAAGGGGCATGGTTTGTGATTGGGATGGGGCATGACCTTTGCGTACCCTCTTGTTTTGTCTTTGCTTAGCTGTTTGTCACATGACTTGCCTTGTAGGATGAGGCATAACAAATACCTTGAGTGAAAATTTAATATTGCATCTTGTGGTTTACATTTTCAATGCTTTTTGAATTTATTTTCCATTTACATGTACTAGCAAATATTTCCCAATGTTTAGATGTTTATAAAATAATACAGAGAAAGACAAACAAGACTAAAATAATAAAAAAGCTTCTAAACAATTCATAAAGGCAATAAATTATTCGTATTGTTTCAATAATTTAATGTTTCGATAACACAACTATGATATTTGCACGAATTTAACTTTTAACGGCAGTTTTTACTTTGGAAAGATATATTCGTATTGCTATTTGATATTTGTACATATTTTTTAAATGATCGAGGATATGATATTCAAAGTTAATATTCTGTTATATTCGTAGGTTTTGATAAATGTTGAAGTCCGTTCTAATATAAAATAATTTATTGTATCATGAAGGCTCAAGTGATTAGAAAGTTTTGCAAATGCAACATCATTTATTGACATTCTCATAGTCAGACTCAACTTCTAGGCTAGTCGAGCAACTGACTAAGGTGGTAAACCCCCAAATTTAGATAATTTCCCACGAAGATTATCTTTAAATGCATCAGTAATAATAACGAAAAAAAATTACTTAAATAAATAAATATTGTCGAGGAGGAGTCCATATAGCAAAATCATAGTCAACTCAACTTCTAGTCCAGTCGGCAAGCCTCTTGTCGCCTTGGCTTGTCCCACTTCATCCTCCGTCATTGAGAGTTTTCCCATATGATCCCTTGACTC